ATAGAATAGAACATCTGGATCGGGCTTTAATAACAGTGTGGGCTTTGTTTTCCTCGACTTGAACTCTAAGTCCCTCTCCCGGGTGAAATATTCCCCTTCCTCCAAATGACGGTCATTGTCACTCTTCGCCTCACCCTTATTCCCCTGCACTAGAGTATTTGCTGTCCAAATATTGAAGCGCCTCTGAGGCCACTGCAGCTGTCATTATTCTCATCCTATCGTTCCTTCCAGACGCTGCATAAAGGCTTCCTCAGTTACAGTCTGCAATTACTACGTTTCCTCATATTAATTCATCACATTAATCTAATTAGTAAGCCTGTTTGCAAGCAATCTTGAAGATAGAGGACGCATCAGACTCTTCTTTTCATAGAGAATTTTTTTTTAAAGTTACAAATCCCACCAGGACAACTGCAAGAAAGATAATGAGTAAGGTAATCTGAAACTTGGAGGGAACACAATGACCACAGTAAAAGTAGGCAGAAATTCAGATTTTTTACCCCAGATTTTTCAAATTATTATTTTTTTCTTTTTATATATATATATATATATGGAAGCTTTACGGAAATATCCTGAACTACTAAGACTCTTTCATTTTATTCTGTGAAATTAGTGTTTACTTGAATGGTGAAAATAACAGTCTTGGACTTTATGGTGTTGAATAAGATGCTTATAGACACTTGACTGACTAAATTCAAACAAACTCAACCTTCTCTCACATCATGCCACTCAATAGCAAACCAATCTATTCCAAACAGTCGGTCACTAAACTCTCAAAGGCCCACTTAACCACCCATAGTTAACATAACAACTGCTCTAAAATTCCATTACGTCTTAAAGGGGCGAAGCAGTCGGTATTTTAGATATTATTGAGGACAACATAAAGATTTAAACTCTGTCCACCTGGATTTGATCAGTTGTTTATCTAAGTAAACACTCCAGAAGGCTGTTTTCTATATTCTGACTATTCCAAGCCTTTTCTTGTCCCAATAACAACATCAAAAGATGTCTTGCATTGATCAGGCACGAGCAACTTCAACACAACTGCAGCATTTGATGCCCTGGGAATGAGATTGAGTTGGCATAGCATCAGTTCTGGATACAGAAACATGACCATAAATTACTTGTCTTGTGGCATTTCTATGAGACTCATAAAATATTCAAATGTTCATTTTCAGACTTGGCCAAGGTAGAAATACTCCAACTAAATGACATAAAAGCATTTTCTCAACTTTTAACCAATAAACAACAACGATGAGATCAGATCAACAGCAGCTGGAGCGTTTTTCTTTTTTTTTTTTCCTTTTTTTTTTTTAAAGAGAACACAATCGTCTAACAAACTGAACCAAAATTAACACACTTTGCTTGAATACTTTGTTCAAACTAACCCCTTTGTTAACCCAGTCAGATGTACCTTCTAATTCAATTTGCACTGCATCATTTAAGCCATTCTAACCCCTTCAAGAATGTGCCATGTGGAATCGTGATGATGGACACGATGCCCCTTGTAAAAAATACCCTTCCTCTCGTGTTTGTCGGCACTGACCTGTTTTTTGGGTTAAAAACTAGAGGAAAGATAAAAGAATGAATGAATTAAAACGGTTGAGGGCCCAGACGTCTACCCTGGGGTAACCCATTGTCGTTTGATTGAGAGATCTCCTTTTACGTCCACACACTTTTCCATGCTGTTATTCACTCAGCTGCATTTATACTGGAGCCATGCGGTTGGAGAGAAGTGATTTCTTTCCACAATAATAATTCATGGCCAAAAAAATTTGTAGTGCAACCAAAGTTGAGCAAAATAGAACCTACAATTTTCCTCTCATCTACATCATTTAGCCTGTCCCAGGTAATTGTATTATCATGGTACAGAGTTCAGAGACCAAATGCTTGAACAATGTAACTTCATAATCATGTAGGCAGATAAAAAAGAATTTTTAACAAGCAGTTCAGTATTAAAAACTAAAGGACCTCTCTGCAGCAATGAAAATGAAAACGTACAGCACCCAGGAATTTATTAAATGTTTTAATATAATTCAAAACAGTGTAAACTATTCAGAATTATAAGATCTTCCTCTTTGCAAACTGTCAAAAAAACAAAAACAAAACTTGGGTTGAGGAGCCAGAAATGCACTGAGGATAAGTCTTATCAGTGACCCGGTGAAAAAAGGGTTACCATTTTACCTATTAACTGTTGTTATTCTCTCACTTTAGCTTGTTTTCCACATTTCCTGCTCCGCCGCCACTTGATTGCAATCTACTGCTAAGGGGGAGAGTGACAGAGAGGACAGGAGCGAGTGGTGCAGTCGAACAGAGGAAAAAAGGGGGGGCGGGGAGGTAAAAAAAACAGGTGGAGAGGGTGATAAAGACAATGGTTACCCTATGCTTGACTTCCTTAGGAAATGGGACTCTGTGATTTTGGCCATAAAAGTCCAGAGGCCAACCTTTACATTTCCGTAATCTGACAGAATGTCAAGTAAAGGTCATTTCCATTTATCAGTAACTTTTCACAAAAGGCTTGTAATTGCGTACGTTTGGGTACCCTCTGATTAGTACAGATGAAGTCCCTTTTGACACTTTTAACATTAAACTACTGTAAGCATTCAGTTTTAGCGATGGCTAGACGGATTTTGCGTTTCAGTTGGAACAGGGGATGAAAAATGATTCTTTTTTTCTAATCTTTGTGTGACTCTGAACAATGCATTTGGAATTCAAGGAAAATCGTTCAGTAAAAGCTTTTAATCTTCCCACTGGATATCTGAATACCTTTTTTTCCCCCCTCGTTCATGCTGTGGCTAATAGGCCTACTGACAGATTTGAGTTGTTTAGCACAGCACTGTACGAAAAGAGAGCAGAGAAAATGGGGAGTGACAGACTCAAAGATTTCTGCAGACTTTTTCAGCTTTATTTCCCTCAGATGAACTGGAAAAAACATGTATACCCTAACTTATTTTTTTGCATTAGGATTTAACTTGCCTCTGTTGAAGGTGGACATTATTCTTCCCATCTATTAGTGATTAATATGAAAAGGTTTGTAACAAAAAAATAGAAAAATGTGTGTTTCAAAAGCAGGTCCTATGAGGAAATCAACGTGCTGGGTTGAATATACTGTAAATGCTCCAATTTTTGGTTAAAACAATAAAAAGTTGTACGGAATTGCCATCATTTAAACTTGTATTTAAATAGAATGGTTCTGCTCTATCAAAACATAGCTTTCCACGTCAACTACTCTCCTATATTTCTTCTCTACACTGTATAACTGGTCTTTGGCTTTTCTTATTTAAATTGGAGCTATGACTGTAACATTAAAGGCCATATCAAAGAAATGTATCATTACTATATAAAGGAAATGTATTATTACTGTCATTTTTACTCACTTGGTTTCTTTAAAATCAGAAAAAAAGTTCCTTTGAGGTCACTCAGGAAGCTTTGATCATTTTACTACTTTTCTGATACCAACTAAAGAATGCTTTTCTCTACATCAAAAGCCATGTAACCTTAACTTTCAACCACAAATAAAGCCAGTGGGAAGACTTAAGCATCTTAGACTAACCACCAAGAAGAAACAACAACAACCAAAAAGGCTGATGTGGGACAGCTGAGAGAGAATCTAAACTAAGGATGGAAGTTGGCCCACATGAGGAGGCACGCTCTCGGTTTTAGCCCCGTTTGTCCATCCCTTCCCCGAAGATGCAGATAACATGAATAATTTTGCGACTGTTGGAAAAAACTTTCTAAAGTGTGGCAAAGGCAGAGTGGAGGAGATGAATTATTCAGGCGTTTTCATCGGAACCACGCTGTTTGCGTAGGGCAGGCCTCTATAATATGCATGTGAGGAGACAAGTGATGAAACGGCTCCGTAAACAGCGGAGAATAAGCAAGACTTGAGGAACCATGTGGTGGAAGAAAAAGGGCGACGCAGAGACAAGCGGCTTTGACTCTGGCTTTTTTACTCACGCACCGGCCCTCTACAATATCCACATCTGAGGGCGCTCCATGTTATAGCCTTGCGGAGAGGGAGAGCAGATTAGGCGGGATATAGGCACGACGGATACAAGGAAAGATGTATGAGGAGCGGAGAAGAAATTTGGAGAATACTGCTATTGTGAGACCGTGTTTTTTTTTGTTTTTGTGAGAAAGAGCAGGGATTTAACAGTCGAAAAAATAAAACGCCAACAGTCGAAGGGAAACAGCAGATGTAGAGAGGCAGCTCGCTTTCTTGTCAAGTACCAAGGGAGGGAGCGGGCACATTTCAAAAAGATAATTTCATGCTGCATGCTGCATTTGAATTGGGATAAAAAAAAAGGAAAAAAAAGCATGAGAGTAAGCCTTAATGATATCTGTTACCTGTTATCCCGCTTAATTTCTTTCCCGTTCCCACTGATATTTAAGTTCTTACGCTTGATACAAACCTCCTGTGATATGATAGTGTACGGAACAAGCTCCACAAGACATATTTTTCAATACCAGGGTCATTTGTTTTCTTTGAAAACTTAATACTTTGAGGGCTATGCTTCTTCAACAGTGTTGTTTTGATCAGAAATTTCCCACAAATAGTCAGACTTCTCAGCTTTGGTATCTGAACTAGCTTGTTTGAACAGCTAGAACTTGAGTCCGGTACCAGTTGAAGGTATTGTAAGATACTTTTCGGCAGTTAAATGTCCTTACTTTTGATACCAGGCTTCAATGCACACAAGAAACGGAATCACGTTTTTTTCTTTTTCTTTGTACATTTACATCTCAAGACGCGCATGTTGGTGTCTGAGCTCGCGCTCTTCGGCTACTTTTCGAGTGACGACCACTACTGGGTGAAATGAAAAGACACATTCAAGTCGGGAGAAGAAAAGACAAATTGTGCGAGACCCTGGTGGGATCGGCGACGGAGAGAAGGGGGCTGCTGGTGCGTCGGCAGCTGCTGGTGGGCAGCGCTCCGTGTCTGCCGAGGACAGTCGGGCCGACACCACTCTGCGGCGGATAACTGCGCGTGTGTCTAATGAGGGAGTTCACAGGCGGGCTCGGCCGTCGTCAAGCGTGAGCGCGACTGGACCGTGGACTGCTTGAAAAAAAAAAAAAAAAACACTTAACAGCTATCTAAAAGGGCAGTGATCGTGGGGGTGATGGGTGGCGTTTCACTGGCGTTCCATGACAAACGGAAGTGTGAGTCAGTGTGCCGTGGAGAGGGGCCTTCTCTGTGTTTCCCCTCCTATGGGCAGAGCTGGGGGCGAGTATGTGGCGGTAATCACACCCGCCGTGGAGCTCGGTCTTTACACCTGAGTGCTGGCCCAAGTTATTCTACGATGAGGTGGGTCTGTTGTACTTTATGTAGCTTGAAATTGAAGTTGTTTGCTGCGGCCCGATGTATCGTTCTTAGCTTTGGCCTTTCACAGATTTGCTTGTAGCATGACTCTAGTCAGCTATTTGCTCATTTTTCAGTTATTAATCCTCTAAAAATCTAACTGTGGCTCTCAGCCTTAACGATTTTTGCCATAAAACAACTCAGAAAGCCCTTAAAAAGCTGGAGTTACTTGAGCATTGCCCAATCCTCATTCACTTAATGGAGTGCCATGACTACACTGCTCTGGCTCCACCCATGAACCCCCCCCCCCCTCCCAGCCCAACTGGTCTGTGAGAACGAGTGGCGCCCATTTCCTATCACTTTAATAGTGTATCAGCTATAAGTGAAATAACCTCAGAAGAAGAAGCCAAATTACACCAAGTAGTGTAATTATCAGTATTGCAGCATATGGACCTTCTATCAATTAGTGCAATTATTGTCTACTCTTGGCCAGTTAGGCATGCAGTTAGGGGTGCAGAACCTCAATCGGCATACAGTTCTTACGTTATAAATGTGCCGTGTGTTGTGCATCTTACAACACACATTGTTTCTTGTGTAGAAAAACCAAAGCTGCCTGACCTTTACTTTTAGGTGGTACTCTGCCGATTGAAAGCTGAAATCCGCAATGTCTCATTTTGCAAGAGATCAAAACTCAGACAGATGCACGTGTAGACAACGTTTTAAAAAATCTCCTTTTGGTTGAGGATTGTTACAGAACATAAAGCTGAGAAAAATGGCACATGGGTCATTTAGAAATGGCATCATTACTCAGTTTGTACGGTGGTTCGGCCGTGGCTCTAAAAAGCGTCTGTAGATCGTGCAGAAGAGTGCACATCACAGCAGAGAAGACAAGCAGAGTTGCTCGAAGACACTTGCACGGTTTCTAGTTAGTTTGAAAAATACATTTATTGGAAAGTCAAAATCACTCCGAATAGAACACCAAGCAGTAAATTGGTGTAAGAATTGTTTAAAAATCTGTATCCAATGTGACTTAAACCCCAGTTGGGGAAACCGCATGCTTATTTTCTCATAAGTAACATTAGTCTTGGTCCAGTTTTTTGTTTTAGCTCTGTTTCAACATTTCAGCACACCAAAGTAGCTGTGCTCCCTTTCCTGTGCTCTATAATCCAACAACTCAAGCGCCTCCGAGTGGGCTCTTTAAAACCATCCGCCTTTGTTATCCAGTTGGATAGACACAACTAAGTAATTGGTGCCCTCTGTGTTGTACCCCAATTACTTTTGTTCCTGAGTGGCCAACCTCGTCCTTCTCTTATACCATGGCCCATTTCCTGTCTCATTTTATATCTTAAGAAGTCCACATGAGCCGAAACAAAAACAGGGTGTGCATTAGGATACGTCAGTAATGAGTGGAAACCCTCCAGATGGCCCCTTTCCTTGGTCAGTTTCCTGAAAGGGCCACAGAAAGGAAAGGAAGAAAAAAATAACTTGCCCAGAGCTTTTATAGTCAAACTAAACATCAAGGGTGAAGAGATGTGTCAACATGAAGCGAAAGAAAGCGTCAATAAATCCATCAGTTGCCTCGTTTTCCGAAGAATGAGAGAATCATGCAGTTCAGGTAGCTAATTTATTCCTTGTCTATTATTGAGTGAGGACGTGGAGCAAAGATGAACGCAGAACAGTGGTGTCATTGATTTGATGTATTTATCCCCCACTGGCCAGCAGCCTGGCCTCTTACTGTGCACTGGAGGTCATTCTCCACATTGAATCCCCATTGATCCCCTCTTTAGAGCCCCTAGAGACACCCCCAGCTCCGCATCCAGAATGATCACACACCTCATAATAAATAAACATTCATTAATTGAGAAAGGAAAACTTGTGGCGCAAAGCGCATTTAGCCATGCGCATATATTCATCATCATGCATGTGTAAACAAACACCTAAGCACGCATTTACAGCTTGGCAATCCTTCACACACGTACATACACACACACACGCACACACACATCTATGCAATACTGGTCGGTAGAAACCAAATTTATTGCTGTCTCCCTCCATAATTTCTTGTACTGCGTCTTCTAACTGCGTGTAAGAGCATGCGTTAATTCAGACATCATTTAATAAGACACGCAGCCAGACTGCCTTGACCACTCCATAGAAAGGTGCTGAAAGGCAATTACGCTGGGCAAATAGCCCTTCAGGCTCCAGGGGCCAAGGCCCTTTCATCCGAAGGAAAGAAAGAGGCAAGCCTGGAATAACACCTCACACCAGAGTTGAAGGTGAGTTACACTAGGTGAGAGCATTTTCCTGGCTCCTTCAAACAGACCCAGACATCCTGCTAAAAATCCACATAGTTTACTCCTTTAAATTAGCCCACCTACAAAATCGATTTATGATTCTTTCAGCACGGTAGGCTTCTGATTACATATATAGAACCATCCTGTTGGGAATGGTGCCCGCATCTGAGATTTTCAGTACTTCCGTTTCGCCTCTTGTATATTTAATCGTGCAAGGAGTTTTGACTTCCATCTGTCAGATATTGGACGTAAACTGTCCACAGATATGAATTACATCTGTGCTGCTCAGAGGAGTTTAAAGCCGCACTTGAATACATCTGCAGCTTTTATCAAAGCTTCTCGCTAAAAGGATAAAAACATGTGATTGACAGCAGAGGCTTGACAAACTGTCATGAGAGTAGCGAGGGAGAACCAAACTAAATCAATGGGCTAATATTCACTTAAACCCCTTCATCCAGCCGTTACCGTTTGTTGTTTTCAGTACTTCAGTCCATCTCACACTCTCTCATGGTCATCAGATCTATTGTTGATATTAAATAGATAAATTCTAAATCATCATTTGACTACTCTTGTTGGAATACTTTGACACTTCTGCCGTTTTAAACTGAAAACAAGTACCTTTAAACATCATCTGTGCTGTATATGTGTGTTTGATAGGCGAGTTAATTCACAGTAAAACTGACACATTTAAACAGGCCAAATCGGTCAGACGTAAAACACAAAATGTGAATCAAATGGGGTGAAGCACTCTTTAGACTCTCATCATATACATTTTTAACAGTTCCTCCCACCCTTAGACATTCTTGGCTACATTCACTAAGATCTGTTTAGCAGCCGTGGGAAACTAAAGAGAAATGATTATTTGTTTGTTTGAGAGAAGTCCTAATTGACAGCCATGACAGCACAGATGGCATGTTTATTTTTCCACCTTTTTTCAGAATTAATGATCAGAAGAAATTCAGCGCCTGTAAATATTCCTTGTGTCAAAACTGATGGAGTTTCTGTCATTAAAGCCAATACCAAAGGAAGCATTCTGTGAAATCTCAAAAAGAAAGGGACTTCAAATGAGATGATGAATAAGCGGAGGGTGAGATGTTGGGTTGGACTTACCACTATTGCCAAAGTCCAGCGAGTACTTGACCACGTGGTAGTTATTCCAAACGTACAGCAGGTTGTCTCTTGGGTTGTAATCCACTGCAGCTATGTACTGGTAGGAGTTTGGAAACGGTATGTTGGCTGGCATTTCCTTGCTTTTCTCAGTGCTGTAAACGTAGTCGATCTTGTTCCCTGTCCCCTCGTTGTCGTCGTCTTCGTAGACGGTCTTGACGACGTAAAGGACCCCGCAGATCATGAAGGCGTTGGAGGCCGAGCGCTTGTCGTAGATGGTGTCCCAGGAGCCCTCGATGCGCAGGGTGTACGGGTTGAGCTGGCTCACCACGATGCGCCCGTTGTTCTGCTCGGTTGCGTAGATCACCCACAGCCCGTTCTCGTCCACGGCCAGGTCGATGTCCGACTTGCCGCCCCAACGGTACGGCGAGGTGTCGTGGTAGTTGGCGTTGGCGATGATGGCCTCGCCGCTTTTGATGCGTGTGCGCAGGTCGAACTTCACGATGTTGCGGGTGCGCTCCTTGTTGAAGAACAGCGCGCCGTCGTAGACCACGAAACCGGTCCCATCCACGCGGTGCGGGAGCTTGTACGTGGTGGTGGGCCGGCCTGCGATGAAGTCCTCCTTCGACGAATACTCGGTCAGCGTGTCGGTGCGGTATGGCGTCCATGGCATGTAGTAGATCTTATCGGAGGCTTGCATTGGGTCTTTGCACCAGGCGCCGGACTGGTGGTCTGATTCAAAGAGATGCTCGCTTTGGTACACTCCCTCCAGATTCCCGGGGCACAGAAATACTACGGAAGAAGAGACAACATTTCCATGTGAGACACTCTTTACCCCCTAGATGTCATAACTCAGCCCTTCTCTCCAGAGCTTTCTGACAGGGCCTGTAGTGAGTTTGCTTCTTCTTTATAAATGTTCGAGAACAGAATAACAGTGTTCAAACTTAACCTTAACCAGCACTGAACGATGATGACATGATAGGCTTACTCTGTTGTGATTTGGATGTTGTATAGTCACTGTCATTGTTAAGCACAGCAACAGCGTGTCTTCTATTCAACAGATAATACCCTGCTCTCAGTTAGGAGATGAAGAGAAAATGGCACATTTTGTTCTACTTCCACCCTTTCCCTCTATTCCCATACCTCCCTCCCTCCTTCCTCAGTTCCTCATTAGTTTCACAGCTCTTTCTTCGTTTCTCTCCCTTTCCATTTCTGTCAGTAACCTCCAACTGTAGAGCCGAGCACATCTTTTATCCTCGGCTGTTTTTGCAGTTGTTACCGTAATCATTTTCCCACTTCAGGCTCGGTATTCCTGCCATGGAATACTGAGGTCATGTTTTATGAGGGATGTGGGAGATGTAGTAAATTCTGGGAAGCCACTGCAACCAATCATGGGAACCTTTGTAATTTAACTGGAATGCTGTCGCATCCGCAAAGCAGATACCCAAAGACAAGCCAGATGTGGTTTTCCCATTCAGTTCAATAGCCCAGTTCCAAATTTTCACACAAAACACTTGAACGGAATCTCAATTTTCTTTAAAAAAAACCTGACATCGATTTAATATAGTGAGGAAGTATTTGAAATATTAAATGTCGGTGTAATTTTCAGTTCATTGGCTCATTATAGAAATGTACTCGACCCATGGAGAGTTTGTTAAGTGACATTCTACACAATGCCATGGAATAATATGGCCCTAGAGTGTGTCTAATGAGAACCAGAGTTTCTAAATTGCCTCTATATGCAAGCTGTCTTAATATAGCAGCAGTGATTTTGAAGGGGATGTCAAGCTGCCACAATGTACAAAACGTTTCCAGCACTGCCATCTGAAAGTGACGCCCAATCCCTGATTTGTAGCATGTTTGCATGAGTGTGGGCTTGAGTCAAAGACTTACCTTTTTGTTCTACTTCTGCATGAGCCACGAGCAAAGAGATTTGAAGAAAATAAGAGAGAGAACAAAGGAGAAAAAGAGACAGAGACAAGAGACAAAAATAGATTAATGATGCAATAATAAGGAAATCATGATAATACAATCTCAGATCTCCATAATCGTCCTCATATTTCATCCTAACCTTGTGAGAGTGCCAGGATGCTCTCCATGTGTGATTGGTAATAACATTACATAAACGTCTGAGGAGACTGCACTGAAACGGGAAGGCTGTCTGACAGTATTGCATCTCGCATATGTTGCGCACGCACATGTGCGGGTGGAGACGCACATGTCAGACAGACCCGGGAATAGAGGGATACTGAGATGAAACACACCAGTGCACCGCACGATATGCGCAAACACACACATGCCCACGGTGTCCCTGGTGGTCTTAGCCCCAGCGCTGAGCACAGCAAAGCAAAACGACCTAAGATAATAAGCTTTTAAATGTACGCTAATAGCGACAGAGCAATGAAAACTAAGGGTAAAAAAACGGATCTGTTCACTGGGATTGCATTTCAGTGGACCAGTCAAAATTGCCACATTAAAATGCTTTCTGGCGCACAGTGGGTGAGCTAATGTTTTGTGTGTGTGTGCCGCACAAAGTGTGTGACTGGCTCTGAGTGTGTAAGCATCTGTGTGCGGTGCTGGTTAGCATAAACTCCACCAATTCCGTGTCTTTATTATCTGGCCTCCATTCACCAGCCAAACCAATCTGAGGAAAAAAGGAAATGTGAATCACGCTTATTTCAGAGTAAGTAAAGAAACAGCAAACAAACAAGGCTTTCACCAGAGAGTGGCTGTTTAAGCTATGTCGGAAATGGTTGGAAATAAGTAGAAAAAAGCATTTGTCCTCGCTAACCTTGAGTAAGTAAAAAAAAAAGAAAAAAATATCTGGGGTAAGACTTCCGCAAAAAGAAAGTCATTAAGAACTCTTCTAGGAACATCTGGGTTGTCATGACAGAAAAGACATCTGTGAGGTACTTGAAATTTTGCATTGACCAGCTCTGACTGGAAAATATTTTTTCATTTCGCATGATGGGACGGGGGAAAAAAACAAAAAACTTGTCTTCTTTTAAACAGGTAAATCCAATTTAAAGCGAGTGAATAACTGTTTTTTTTTTGTTTTTTTTGGACATTCTTAAAATGGAATCCTGGATTTTATTTTATTTTTTTTATACACAAATGCATCCCTTTAGAGCTTCGGAATACCCCTGCATCAAAATGTGCACGCTTCGCTAGAAACCTCTTGAACATATGAATTTCATTCCACCTCAGTCCCTGGAGGTCTGAGTGGAATGTGAACGTGGCAGAAACCTTATCCTGCAGGCGCTGCCCCTTTCAAGACCGTTAGAGACCTGCTGTATGGAACTAGTCCCCTGAGAGGTGAGAAGAAAGGAGTAGAGGAGGGGATGAGAGCAGGGCAAAGTCCTCAAAGGAGAAAACATTTGCTAGAACTTCTGGATGTTTATATATATACATGGCGCATGTGCTCTACTTGTTGGTAACTAACACTGATAAATTCCTCAGCACATTAAAGCTAAAACGCATCACCAGCCACAAGACAAACAGGACACGTGTGATGAACAGAAACACACTGGAGAGCGCACACACCAACGCACACACCCACTCGCACACACACAGGCAACCATTAAATCCTCGGCTCATGAAAAATGCATGGTAACTGGTGCGGCTTAGCACAACTCCCGATAAATAAGCAATCTCTGGAAGGAGATCGTGTCCAAGTCAGAACCTAAAACAAGCGTGTCTATGCGCGCGAGTGTGTGTGTGTGTGCGCGTACGCCTGTTTGTGTGTGTGCCGTCAAAAGTTAAGATACAAAATGGTTCACCACGAGGAAGCAGCTCCCCTGTGAGGAGAGCCTGGAAAGAGAGGAGATAGTCTGTCTATGCAGAGGGGCGTGTGCGATGAAACGGCAGATAACGGCGGACTAAACCAGCACACGCACAACACGTGTGCGCGCACACGCACGATAAAAAGAGACAAATTGCGGTGGAGAGGACAGGGATTGATGACACCAAAACAACAAGGCCTTCACAGTACCTGATGCTCCTATATCTCAGACACCGAGGAAAAAACGTGTAGAGTTCAAGGTTGCCACCAACTAATAGATTTCAAATGAAAGTGTGGAGGCAACAAGTATACCAAATGGCACAGAAAATGTCAAACAAATGTCATTCAATTTGTACCGCCGCTCAGTGTTTCACTAGATTAATGGACGCCTCAGTTGGTGAGCTTAGTGCAGGATATCTTTTTTCCAGGTGTCTTTCTGTTTTTCTTTTTTCTTTTTTTTAATCTCCAGGACAAGGGTAAGGAATCAAGATTTCTCACAGATCCCAGACGTTCATTTGTCAGCGCGAGCGACGCGACGAGGCGAATATGTGTCAGTCAGACCTCTGCTGAAAACTCAAGGTTTTGTCAAGGGTAGCTCAGGCATGCAAGGTGATTAGAGAGATGAGAAGTCTTCTCCGGCGTTGTTAATTTAGTCCCCCCTCCCCGGGTGTAGTTGAAAGAGGAGGAAAATGTTCCTTATTCTCCCGAGTGTCAACAACGAAGCGTCTTCTGTCGGCCTCCATCTTAACGCGGATCGGTACTGAACTCTGCGCGAGGAGCCGCGTGTTTTGCTCAATCCACTATCTCCGACAGATTATTTGCGGAATCGCCGAGATGCCATTGTAACCTATGCATCTTCGGAAGGGCAGGGGGGTGCAAAAGAAAATCTGCTCATTTATTCACCGGCGAGGCTTTGAACGAATATTAGGAACGCTAGCAAGATAATAAGGATGCGTTGCCTCTCTAGTTTCACATTCATTAAAATCATCTACTTATTCATTAGAATCTGCTGTTGAATCTTCTCTACTTCACACGAACAGCTCTTCCGCTGTACCTTGGATGTTTTCTCCCATGTTCCGCTCCCTTTCTATTCCTCTTACACTACAAGCATGCATACAGAAGCAGTGTTAACCCAACTGCGCTGCAGTGTAAAGATAATTAGCATTTTTATTGAAAATGTATGGTTTATTAAGGAGGTGTTCGCCTAGGAGAAGGAGACAGTGTGTTGCCTGCGAGCGTGCGCTAACGCATGTGTGCGAGGGACAGCTCCCGCGCACATTTCCGCAGACGGCGAGTTGGAGACAGCAGCCTCGCCAGCGATTATCGCTGATCTCCAATCAGCACAGCCCTCTAAAGCCCAAGGTCAGGTCTGGACAGAGGCGTTGTCTGCTTTATTTTCTCCATTGTGCCGTTCTTTCCCTTTGTCCCCGTACCTCACCTGCCATTCTGGTTCTTTATTTCATCCAGTTTTTTTTTTCTTCTCCTCGTTCATTCTCTCCCTTAGCTGCCTTCACCATATTTCCACCCGCCCCCCCCCCCCCCCCCCCCACTCGGCCAAACCTAACTCGGCCTTTTTATCATTTAATTCGTTCTCCTTGTTTCTCGTCTGCTCTCGTCGTCGAACCTCTTTCCCTCTATCTCAGTTTCGTCAGTCGCTCCGCCGTCCTCTCCCTCTGCCTCCTTATTCCCCTTCCCATCCTCTTTTCCTCAGCCTCTCCCTCTCTGAGAAAACATAAGAGATTGCCTGCATATGTGCCCACACAAACAACCTCACAATACCTGCATGCTCTTCCAGAGACGGCACACGGCAGGAAGGAACTTAGCAGAGTCTCAATGACAACGGTGCCTGGACACACACACACACATACATACACACACACACAGCTCCTCTTGTGTGATCATGATGAAGTTATTCTAAGGGTCCAATCTGACAGAAGTCTCTAATTGGACAGAGGAGAAGGTGATTTTTATCTTTTAATTAGCTCTCCGACCCAGCCAAGTTTTATTGTCTAAAATAGACTGCATGGGTATTGCATAACATATCGCTGGCTTTTCTGATTAATAACTGCTAATTGCCTCATAACAGCAACCACCAGAGTCAGGGTAAACTGAATGAAGACGAGGAAACGGATACGCCAGGGCCCACGTGTCCCTGCCTTTTTTTTTTTTTTTTTTAATAGATGAACATGAATGAGATGACACAAATTTAATCGTTTTTCCTTTTTTTCCCGCAGCTCCGAGCGTCCTTGCTGGGATTAAATCTTTCCATGTATAAGAGGTGCCTCGGTGAGGCGCTTTGTGAGGCAGTGTGCTAATTGATGTATGGATATTTATAGTGTGCCCGCAGTGCTATGAGGCTTGTATACACAGGTGGCTAATTACTGCCGAAGTTAGCTGGCTAGCTTTGGCACACGACCGCCAAACTACTCAAGCCATGGAAAGAGAGAGAGAGGGAGGGAGAGAGAGAGAGACGGCGCTCAGTTGTAGTTTTGGAAAACAGCCAAACGAACGTGCATCTCAACGGGGAAGAGTCGAGGAGCACGGTAGCGCAAGCCAAAAAAAAAAGAAGAAAAAAAACGAATTCCGAGGGGGTAAAAGACGGGTGGAGGGAAATGGATGAGCATAAAAATTTGCCTAAAAACTGAACTGTACATAATTGAACTACCTGTGTTACAACCCACTTTGAGGATTGTTTACAATATCTGTGTCAAGGGGGGCATACCGCTTTCACTTGAATGACAGTGTGTAGAAAAAGGAGAAAAAAGGAAAAAACTACACCTGCAGTATGAAGTTTTTTATTCTTTCCGTGCTCAGTTTGTCTACGGTTTGACAACGCATCTGGCTAAAGACGTTGGCCCTGTATGGCAAGGGTTTCGATAGGGTTTGGCGCGTGCTTACCGTCCACAGACACGGCCCTGATATGCTGTGCCAGCACACCACGTGATCACCGACGCGAGCACAAGGCAACGTTCACATGGTATGACAGATAAGATTTGTCCTATTTCATAAATATTTGAGTCGGAGCACCACAATATGCTGATATCGAGTTAATGGAATGCTGAAATTGTGGTGAAAGTTCTCCAGGGATGGTTATCAAAAATTGATCCAAGCAGATAAATGAAAACATTTTTTATTTCAATAGTTTTTGTGTACTATCCCTTTTTTTTCCTGCTCCATCAGTTTTTCTTTCTCCAGTCGCCCTGTGCACACTCGAAATGGGGGAGTAGATAGAGTAGGAATTTTTCGATTTTTTTTCAATTGCCTCAGGTTGAATTGAAATTGGACTAATTTTATTCATTTGGTTTGATTGGATTCTTATTTCATTAAGATCCATTTTCTTAAATTGAATTGTATTCAAGTTAAAGTGCCTTGACATTACATTGTTGTGACGTGTTACCCTACCAATGAAACTGAACTGAGTTACATTCTCAGCCTATTTTTAAAACGCAATTCAATTAAAACAAGCAAAACACAAAAAAAGGCAACAAAAGAGGTGAACAAGTTGACGTCTATCTAGGTATTGCAGTCATATATATTCACCTGAAAGGGCTCTAGCCACTCGTAAGGAGAAAATCTGAAGCCGGCGAGATGAAAAATGATGGCTCTGTTAAGAGTTGTGCCATGTGAGCGTTGATATCCTCTGACAAAAGTGTGCGCAGTTATTTAATCTTCATACAAAATGTTCTCATGCAGCACTTCTATAAACACACCCACAGGAGCCAGGTAGTGTATCACGGCGCTACCTGATCCAGCCTGAGCACTTCAGACAGCCTGCTGAAGTCAGTAATGTACTATCAACAGCCATCTCTCCTTCTGCAGCCTTGCTTCACCTCCTTCACCACGTCCCTCCCTCCGTCAGCTGAGCTCCCTCATGACTCTGTATCAGACGCCGTCAATTTATTTTATTTATTTTTTTCGCGGGAAGGAAAACGTCACCCGCAGAAGTTACTCAATTGTTTATCAGATAAGCGCACGACTCGTCTCCCTTTGATCCGAAGCCATTGCTCTTTGCGGTGACGAATCCATTAAATAAGTGGCGCTGTGATTTCAAGCAGGCGCGCAATTACAGAACAGATAGTCAGACCACGCAGATGCGTCCCAATTGAATGAAACAGCAGGGAGAGGATACAGTACACCAATGGGCCCCTCTTTTCTTGATGTGTGCATATGCGGGCAGTGGGAGAGTGCGCAGGTCCGTGTGCCTGGTGGGGCATTAAGCAGGTATCAGGTTGTGTTTCCATCTGCTCCAGAGAGGGCTCTGATAGTCCTATTATTTAATCTTCTGGTCATACTAGACGCCAGGCAAGAGCCGTTTAGCCTGACATAATTGAATGCTTCAGTGTGGGAGATCACCTTGGCCGTCTGCGTGTACAGTGGTGCCAAAGCTGAGGACAATTTGACTGTCAATCTGTCTACACAAGTTGAGAAGTTGTTGTTGTTGTTTTGTTTTTTTACTCTATTTTCCAAAAAAGAAACTTGATAAACATATGTCTCCCAAAAAAAAAAAAAAAAAAAACATGTTTGGCCCAGAGTGCTTTTTCAAGGCTAAGTTTCGCATTACGAGCCGCACCGTTCTGTTCTGATTAGACGCGGAGAAAAATCTGACAAGCAACAATCGCAGTAACAAGTGTGGCTGGCAGTGCTTTAGTCGTGCAGAAACGCTCGGCAAAGCATTTAGGCAAAAAGCCATATCAAATTCAGCATTGAGCATCTTCACTCATGTCGCGCGGCCTCATATTGGGTATATCCAATCTAGCGCCAAAAGCTGAAGTGACAGCAAATTGGATTTGAAAATCAAAATTGATGCTTGGATTTCAATGTCCATAAAACCCTGAAGTCACCTCGACTGAAAAAATAAAAAACTTTATGCTACTTCGGTATGCTAATGTGAAATTAGATAAAGAAATAACGCCCGTATGCATATCCTCTCTTTTTTTATTTGCTTCTCCATAACAGCAATGACATGGCAACAGCAAAATGATACCCAAAGTAACACATATAAAGAAATATAGGTATATGAACGGGTTAGGGGCGGGTGATGTTTCTACGTTTTTAGTATGGCGTATGTTAATAACCATAAATCAAGGCCATACTTGTGACAACCCACCGCACCGTCCTATAAGGACCAGAGCTCAGCTTTGCTGTGAGAGCAGAACAATAATTTCTAGCAGTTTGCACCGGATGGAGAGAACGAGAGCGCAAATTTTATTCTAATCTTTCAAAGTTTCATTTTAACTAGCAGTGGCAGTTCATTTTTGGGAGCTGCCACAGTTGGTGTAAAGAGCCTTCTATTCCACTGATGACTGCAGACTGTATATTTCTGGTAACGCAGCCTGACTCACCCAAAGGTTATTGTGATTGTTTTCTTGCTTCTTCTAACTTTTACTGTGAAAAGAGTAAGACCTAATGTCTGTTTTTTTTTCCCAAAACTGGGTTAAAGGGCTCAGGCTTTCTCTTTATCTCTAAGTATTCTTGAGCAACGCATCTGCCGATTATCTCAAACGAACGCTTTTTTACCTTTCTGACTCACATTCAGTGGGGTCCTTATCCCTAACCGGCTAGTTTTTTTTTTTTGTTCAGTTAATTTTTGTTAAGCGATTCAACGCTGACCTAAAAATCCTTAGAGCACACAAAACAAACTAAAGGCAAAGGATGACCCTCCATTTCTAATTCTATTTCCTACTTTCCAGACAATAGAAGAAGAAATGAGGGCATTTTAATGCTTTTGCACTGTGCCAAGCTTTTGGGAAATACTGTTTTATACACACGTCTGAAATTAAGCAAACTAAAGCCTCCTTTAAGCCTGCTGTGATGGAGAAGAAACCAGAAGGCAGCAGTACATGATGGGAATCAAATGCCATGTAGCTTTCTCCTAAACCAAACACAACATATTACCTTTGTTTTAAGGTGAACCCTCACATCGGGAATGTGATGCAAAATAAACATCAAGGACAAAAAGATCTCTTTTATCCACTAAATATCCACACTGATCCCTTTTGCATTCATTATGCAGTGAGCCGTGACCTAAATTTAGGGAGAAACTGTGCTGGTTAGAATAAAGAAAAAAAAAGTGGCTGGGATATTTTGTGGACATGTCATATGTGTGTTTCACTCCACTGAATACAACTGCCTTGTCATTACCACACGGTCAAAGACCATACCACTATCTCCCCATTTGTCTTTCCCATCCTTCCTCCCTCTAACTTTCCCAGGCATTGAAGTCATTACGACTTCCCCCTGTGAACTCACTGTGGCATCAAATTACCATGTCCATGTTGTTGTTGAGGCAGTATGACAAACGGCAGCCTTTTCCAAATCTAATTTTAAAGCAAATGTTAGCAGTGAAATTCCTTTAGTTACCATGATTTTAGACACACTTCATTCCCATCCGTGATGTGTGGATAATCTCAGTTACTTGTGTCTGGTGGTGGTGAAATTGCAAGCAAAAGAAATGTGAAGTTGAACAAAAAAGAATAAATGAAAAGAAAGAGCTGTACTTACTGTAAGGAACACACTCATACTGGACCTCCAGGTATTTGTATGTGCCCGGGCACGGATCAGGGAAAACGTCAGGGCCCGCCACCACTGCACACTGGGTGCGGTTGTTGCATCTGACAAGAAGAAGACAAGTGAGGAGTTAAATCTGTATCCGTTTCCCTAAAACGATCCCCCGGCTGAAACCAAGAGGATTGAGCATCTCAGCCGTCACGAAAGCGTATTGACCGCTACCAGCGCACGGATCCTGACATGGCATGTTAACTTTTTATGTCCGTGGAGGCTTGGTTGTGTTTTCAAACAATCTGGCGAGGATGCATAATTAGGCGGGGTCTGAGGAAAAGTGTGACTTAACAAAGCCAAGTGCTCTTTCTGAATGAAGCTTTTCAGCCCACGCAGCATGATCTGGATAATTAAACCTGCTCAAGCTCAAGTCGAATGATTGCGGCACAAACAGAATGGATAAGTGAATTAGTTCATTTTTATCCTCGGCTCATCGAAAAAATTGACTGAGCGCTGACTGTTTCTCACATACATGCCCGTCCCTCTTTTCTTTATGCTGTGTACTGGCTATATGCACAGAGATGGTGGAAAACCAAACATCCTTGCTTGATGTGCTCCTTTTGCTCAGGCTCCCGCCACACAGCATACACTGATATAATCGTGTACGTTCATCCCGACACTCAAGAGTCATCAGACATAAAGAACCCTTTGTGCTGTAAATGTGGCGGACTGTAAGCCCTCACTGGTACTTCTGGACTGAACATTAAATTAATGGATTTGTGGAGTTCACTTGTACACAAGGTGGATACTGAAGAGCTGCCACACAAGGACACTCCTGCAGCGTGTGCGAGCGGCAAGAACAATAACCTATGTCTTTAAGTGTATTTTGACCCAGACTCCAGATAATTAATTCTAATCACCAGGGGGGCCCTCTCCTCTGACACACAAAATGTAAGTATTTTTCACTCTTATTAACATGAGTTATGTAAGGCGGCACGGCGTGTTTATTTGGCCCGTCAGCATACGTGTTTACACGCGTGTGCGGCTGGAGCGCAGCTAGCAAAAAGCACGCATCAGATTTATTTGCAGGTGTAATTAAACACTAAAGATGATTTGTTGGGAGATAACCGTGTCCATATCTTATCATGGCAGATATATGTAATGACATAAAATAATCCAATACACAGAGGTGCTCTTTATCTAAATGATACTTCCAGGTTAAAATCAATCATTGAAAAAACATGAGCGAAGAATATCTCGTGTAGACAAATAGTGAAAACGGACGAGGACGGCTTCTCTAAGATGGCTGAATTGTCTTTTCTTCCCTTCAATTAGTTAAACTGCACTGTCTCTGCCTCTGTGAACATCTGTCAAACAGACGACATTTACAGTAGAAATGTTCAGAATCTCCCATTGAGATGTTTCTAATGAGCATCCTAAACCTCCTTTTTAAAAGTATCATTCCACAATTTGCATAATGAATTATGCATGAAGGCTAATTTAATTGTTAGCTCAATCCTCTCGCAAAACACACAGAGACGAACTGTGATGCTGGCAACAGAAAAACCATTTGCTGTGGCACATGTTGGCTGCCGGATGCTGACCGGTGTGATTGTGGTCAAGCGAAAGGGTTCTTGGAGTTTAAAAGGTTAAAAAGTGAATGTATGACAATCTCTGTCATATTTTAATAACAATGCATGCTCCTCCTTGTCTCCCTTCTTTTTTCTCGCTTCTGTGCTTTTTAATTTCTTGCCCCGGTGCCTTCATCATCGGTCACCTGTCACCAGTGCAACTTGTGGACTGAGGTGGGGGTGGTGGGGGGGGGTTCAGAGCTGACACCGCTTCAACTTGGCTGACAACACCCACCAATGGACACGGTGAGCTGGCAGACAGCGGTGAATCAGAGCACAAAATGCCATTTAATGGCCTCACAAATCTCCAAACTTCAAAACCGTACGCTGCTTTTGATGTCATCACACCCCGCCGACAAGCGAGCCGGGCTAACGGTTTCACTTGTAGCGCTCCGCTCAAAGTACTGCCACAGGCACAAGTGTAGTATTAATTATTTCCACATCCAGACTTTAAGCCTTAACACTGACTGTGCATAGGCCTAGGGGCTTTGTAAAACTGGTGTCTCATCACTAAGGAAGTGGGGATAAAAATCCATCTGATACACAAATATTCGAGCAAACTGGGCAGCAGAACCCCACGACACCGAAAAGCTGGATCCAACAAAACTTTATTAAAGTGAAATAAAATGATTCAGTTCCTCCTTCGGGTATCAATTAAACCCCCCATAACTTTCATCCAAACCACATCCCTTATGTCTCTCTCGGCCACACTGAAAAACAAACTAGTCAAACTTCACTAAGCTGGCCAACAACCGAAAACGTGATGCTAAAACGAAGCAAATCTGTAAACACAACAGAAATCTATATTCAGGATGTTTACAAAAACATTGGGCAAGATTCTCGGGGGATTTCTGAGAACTTATTTCATATATCTCTTTCACTCCAGAAACTCCATCTGGGGAGATCTGCCAACAAAAGTAATTTTTTCTTCAGCTCTTTTTTAACAGTTGTGTAATTTGTCAGTAGAGCTGGGTATGCGCCTTTAAAAAGCCCCCCAAACTGGTGGAACCTTGATATCCACGAAAATGCCAGAAAGGAAAGCAACAGAGGGTAAATCTGAGGGCATATAGCGTATATATATTTAACCTTTCTCTGTAAATAGTTTTACTCTAGGCGCATCCTTACCCCGTGCCCGTGTTGTATTCCCTCCATCTACCAGAAGGATCACGGCAAACAGCACGTGCTGCACATTTTTACAGCGAATCGCGCTAAGCGTTAATTGGACTTGATGCCAGCCTCTTGACAGCATGTGATTTGCCGTGGTGGAAATGAGTTGGTGCGCTGCGGCTCCGGATTCCGGATCGCGGGGCCGACTGCTCACTAACGGGGAAAGATTACCAAAAAGAAAGATAATCTTAAGTTTTCCACTTGCGCATATGTTGCTGCTTTATGACAAAGCAAAATCGGCTTGGCTGCTGAGCCACTAAGCACTGAAGGTTATTGACTAAATAAAAGGTAGAGAGCAGAGATTTGACATAATCCCTCATGCGCTGTATCTTTCCCCAATCACTCCCTCTATGTCTATTTTGGTATGCTGCTCCTTTCTTTTTTTTTACCCCCTCCCCACACACTAAGCTAAGATAATACAACTTTTTTTCTTTTTTTTCTAAGTCTCCGTCTTCACCGTGCCCGCCAAAGAATTATTTTCCTCCATTCCTCCTTCTTTGTCTCCAGTTCCAACTGTCATTTTTCAGTCTGTTTATCTGCCTTAAACCCACTTAGCTTCAGTTTCCGAAGTCACACCCAGATATGTGTGGTGGGCCTCTTATTGCCGCCTCCGTTTTTTTCACTTTCTGTGCACTCTCACTCCTTAATACTTTTCTCATCCCTGCCTCCCTCAGGGCGTCATCTCCAGCCTCCCTCTGTTTCTCCCTCAATCCCTCCATCCCCAGTAAAGCCTGCGCTGACGTCACCACCGCTACCACAGCCAATAGCCTCAGTCAGATCCAAAAAAGACTCCCTCGTGTCCCCAGTACCTCCATCTCCTTCTCTCTTTTAGTAAATGTGCGCTCTCATTTCCTTTCTGCCGACATGTTAATCCAGCAGCACAAAACATAAAACCATCGGCAAAAAAGATATATATTTTTTATAATCACAGTTCACGTGTGCTCTGCATTGTGGGTCTGTGATTGCAGAACATGCACGCACACCCACACAACATTTCTCACCTTTTCTCTCCCAGACCAGCGGTGGTTCTGGTTCTTTTTTTTTTTTGTCCTGTGATTTTCTTGCTCTTTTTTTAATTAGCATGACCACATCAAAACAAGGCAGTGGCCTGGATACCGCCTTGCCCGCTGGTTTTTCTTTTCTTTGCACTGCACAACACAAACACACACACACGCACATGCACGCACGCACACACACACACGGATACCGTCTGTACACAAACAAACCATTCACTAACAAAGCCGAGCTGTGGCAGGCATGGAAACAGAACGCGCTGTTGCTGCAGTGGGTGCCGCTGTTGTTATCGCCTCTGATGTTTTCCCACTTATTTCGGCACAACTCCCTTTAACTTCATCTCCATCTCGTGGTCTCGGTCCTTCACATGAATAGTAACCGACTGATTTGACGAGGTTGAAACTGGCTAACGAAGCGTGTGCTACGATGTTTATGTATATGTGGGAACATGTGTCTGCAAGCAGATGTGGAGAGAAAAAAAAAAAGAGAAAATAAATGAGAGCGCGCGCGACTGTGCTCGAATGCAGATGTGACGACGATCTATGGCTACAGAACGAAGCGGGAGCTGGGAACCAATCCTCCTGCGTTGAAAGAAGTGTCTGAGAGTGACACGCTAGGCCTCGGAAAACTCTGGAATGAGTATTTGAATTCAGTCAAATCAGCCCGGGCCCATTGAGAGACGTCGTCAACAGTGTGTGAACACGCTCAAACCGAGCAGAGCCATTTCTGAAGGGTGCCAGGTATTCATCCGACCTTCGGACTCCCCCGAACTCAGACATTCCTTGTCCATGCTCCGCTTGATGAAGGATGAGATCATTTACTGGCAGCAATATTAAGCCGGTGGTCAAAGATATTATGGCTCACTGGTGTATAAAAATCCCAGAAAAACTGCGTGTGGGCTCTGCCGGTAATGGACAAAGCAGGACCTTTCACAGGTCAGCACAACTATCTGAGTTCACAGACTAAATTATATTATCCACTTGGCCACAACATTGGATCCACCTGCCTTAACGGCTTCAACTAGCTTTGACCCATTGGGCCATGGACAAATGATTCCTGGGGAGGGAGGATCCGAAGCCAAAAAGAAAAAAGAAAATAAATGAACCAGGAGTTTTTTTCCCTTCATGTCCCAATTTCTAAATCAAGAATTTTCCTGGGGTTTGGCTTCTTTATGTAAGCACAGTCTGACACCAAAATTAACCACCGAGATATATTCTTGCTCTTCTCAGGTAATAACCTCACTGGAGACCCACAATAAAATAAGCTTAAGCGGCTGTGTGCACCCTGTATCGGTTATCTAAATACCAATAAATCACTGGTCCAATCGTTTTTCTGCAGTGCACATTATCTGAGGTGAAGTCAAAACACAAACCTTTTACATGCTATTTCAATAAGGTGTGTAGTTGAAAAAGACTAATTTTATCTGCACAAAAGATTAAAGACGCTTATGTCAAAATGGTTACAAGAGTGATTTGCACATTGTGGGTAAGTATTAGGCTGATAGTAACAACAGCCACAGCAGATTTATCATGGATCTTATTGTTTTAGCTATTTTTGATCACTTGAACACAGGACACGATGCTCAATTTCCTGTTTGTACACCATGGGTTGTTCTGACTGTCCTGATTGACAATATCTTTTTTTCTTCTTCTTTAAATCCAAAGCTGTTCAATTATCCATCTGTTTTAAGTTCCATTTTTGGACCATCTAATGGGTTGTCATCAGATACATGAAATCATTTGGTAGACAAAAAGCCAGTCAAATTAAAACGCCCTACAAACCCCCACCCTGGGTGAGACTGTTGTGCAGAGGGCTTGTCTCATCTTGAACGGATTAGATTCTGGGGAGCCTGACAGACATGTTTGGGCCACAGTTTTGCTTATGCAATTATCTAATTCAGCTATCTGGTCTATTCCAACGTCAGTTACAATATAAACACATGGAAAGGCTTTAACCCCAAAATGACATCACTACGACACTCGTAGCTGTGTTTTGTAACGCATATGACTGATTTACGACACCCATCTTTGGAAAGTAGGTAGACGAAATGTGATAAAAGGCCATGAGGGGGAAATAAATTCAATATCTTTAAGATGTCATGTAAAAATGCAACTGGAATATTTTCTCATTTAGAGTAAGTTCAGTTTCAGGTCTTCATAGCTATGAATAAAAATGAATGAACAAAAATTGAATGAATAAATACACATATATATATATATATATCTATTAGGAATGATCACCTAATTTGGGCAGTTTTAAAGGAAATTGTCAGGTTTGTATTACCTGGTAAAAAATAGTTAAGGGATTTCTAGAGTGGTGGTGGGGGGGGATTGCCAGCACAAACAGTATAGTATATTGGATGGATTGAAATAATAATTAAGTGAGTGAAATAATTAAATAGCTTTGAAGTTTCTTTAGCGATTTCGTTCAATGCAGGCTATCAAAAGGATCCCCAATTTGTTCCCATTTGTTTGGATGAATGCTAAAGAATGTCCACAAGGCAAAGCAGACAGTTTGCTCCAGCAGTGAGAGTCCCACCGAGGTGCTAGCTAAAATTGTTATGATGTTCAGCTTTTGAACATTTCAAGATATTGCCTGAAGTTTTCGCCTGGAGCATAAAGCCAAAAAGCAAAATCGCTCTGTTTAAAGATGGAATGTTTTTCCAATTTAGATGCCCGAGGAAACTGTTTTGGAAACAACAGGAATGGGGATTCTTTGCATACAGTGTCCTACTGTCTTTAAGAAATCAATTCCTGTGAATTAACACCTCTTTCAGAAATAATTCATGAATAGCACTCAATGTGTGTCCAAAGTCTGTATTAACTTTACTTATTCTATACAAGCCCACTCACAATATCCTCAAAGCACAAAGACTGTAACTCCTGGACCCTCCCGTAACATATTTTATCACTACATTAGTGAGTATCTTTTCACACACCAGCGGGAAAATTGATGGCTCAGAATCCTGAGAAATCTCTTGCTCGAGCTCCGTCTGAGAGTTGTGCAATGTTCGGAACATGCAATATGGGCTCGCTGTGCGAATCTCACCGTCTTCTTCTCACCATTTTTACCCACACTGTGAGTTAGGCTGCTGAAAACACATTGGAAAGATTTTTTTTCTTCTGGACTACTGCATTTTCACTCAAACTCATAACCAGGCATAATTTTTGGAGTCATGCGTGGTATTGTTTCACCATGGGCTAAAGAAATCTGAAAGGAAATAATCAAGTACATCAGCATATTTGCATGTTTTCCTTTTTTTAAACCTTATCTTTAATTTGAATACACTTTAAATAGCGTGTGTATGTACGATTTGCACTTTGTGTTCTACCACTTTGTTTTACTGCATTCTGCTATGATAAAAATTGCCAGGCACACAATTATTTTAAACACTACTGGGAAAGAATTACAGCATAATATGACAATGTATCATAGTGCGCGATAACCAAAGGGTTTCCTTTAAAGGAGAGTTAATACATGTACAATTAATAATGTTTATGAGGCAAAATATATAATATGTTTTCAAATGAAATAGAATCGTAGGTATATTTATTAGCTCGTTACACATTAGTCTTATAAATTCAAGCGGAATCTTCAATAAAAGCCTAACCGAACAGTGAGATTCAGGGAAAATATTAAAGAAAAGCATAAGACAAAAAGAGGATAACAAAAGAGGGAAAAGATGGTTTCTGACGGTTTTTTATGTCCTGCAGGAGCTCAGGAAACCCATTTGACAGCAGTCACAGCACAGTTACATCTTGCTGCAGGATAAAAAAGCCCCCACACTCACTCCCTCTCCCACACCACACATGAGATTCCTCTGCCACTGGCCTCATTTCTGCTTTATTAGCCCCCCGATGTGATTATACACATATATACAGTGGGGATGTTTGGAGAGGGACGACTGGAGTGATGGAAAAGGATGGCATACGGGGAGAGGAGGAAGGGCAGGAGCTGTGGAGGGAGGCTGGGGAAGCAGGGATGTAGTGAGGAACTGAACACTGATGCCGGGATTGTGACTGACAGGGGGGAAGGGACCGGGAGAGAAAAACTCAGGTGTTTGTGAAAGTCTGTGCAAATGTCTTCGGTGGGGTGTGCTGAGGCAGTTGCATCACATCATGTAGCAGAACCACACCGCACCACTATGATGAAAAAATGACAGATCTGTCTCCCTGTTTGTCCCTTGCCTGCACACAAACACCACTCAGTCAGGGCCCCTGAATGTGTTCCTGTCAGCTCCTGAGCAAGCCTGTCTGACAAGCTCAGGTTTAAAAAAAAAAAAGGGGGGGGAAAGCAGATTAATTTTTTTTCCAGCCGGAAAAAAAACAAAAACGTGTTACATTATTGATGTTCGGCTGGATGTCCGGCCACCTTCTGGTGCAGTGCACACAGATATATACAATATGTCATGTTATGTGCGCGTGTACTGATTATGGCATGCTGCAAGTCCAGTGTGCAGATTGGGTCAAACATGCAGCGGGCCTTCGTGTCTCGTCTGAGACTCTAAAATGAATCGCTTTCTGGAAAGCATGTCAGTGATATGCGCAGATGGAGAGACGATCTGAAGCCATTCCATGTCAAGTGAAAAAAAATTATCAAATTTGGATTTCGGGACCCAATCCATTAGACTTTGACCAGGTCAATGAAGTCAACCACTGACACATCACCGAGTGGTAACGTTTTTTTTTTTTCCAAAAAGGCGTACGCTCTCTGCACACAGAGGATCATTTGTATGCAAATGGAGAACAGAGTGCACGTCTCCGCACTCTGCATAATGTCTGCGATATTGTTAAGATAACATGTAACCACACAACCTGATTTCAACCGATGTCGTTCCGTGGCGATGAAATGACACGTCTAATGGCGAAGAGTTAGGGTAAAAGTACTGGACAGGATGTCAGCCTCTCGCAGGCACGCGTCAAGAAATGACAAGCGAAACGCGTGCTATTAACACGCGGCATCGCTCGGCGCGCAATAACTGCGGCTTCCCGTCCGACCAGACTGCAAAGGCACATAAATAACACACACAATCACTTCTTCCCTCTATCTTCCTGGCAGGCTGACAGCCAAGAACAGCTTTTGAGCTCCACCATCTCTCCTCTCCTCTCCTCCCGTCTCCTCCTCCTGCGGTAACCATAGCAACTTCCACTTCGTCCAATTCCAGGACAAACTCTGGGAGTCTTTCTCCTCGTTCCACCCAGAAACATTCCTTTGCCGATATCGCCAACGTTTCTCCCCCGCCCCACGCCCGAGTCCTTCATGTGCGGCAAAACACCTACGTCTTTCTGGTTTTAAATCAAACAACCTGCTGGCAAAAACCCTCCGAGTGCAACTGAAAAACTAAAAGATAGGCGGCCTCTCGTCTTGCCGGGTTGTCCCTCGTGATTGGTTAAAAAGCAAGGGAGCGTGTAGGACCGCATCAACATCAAGCGCCACACCGAGAGGCTGACTTGTAGGATTTAGTCAGCCTCACCTGACGAGGCACTTAGACTTCAGGATGTTGTGCATTTGCAGCACGGTGATGGCGATGGGGGCGGCCTATGTGCGTGTGTGTGTGTGTGTGTGTGTGTGTGTGTACCTTGTGTCCTGGTTTGGTTTTGCACGTTAGTGTCAGCGCGCTACGTATCAGGTCGGCCACGTAGTCAATCACTGTCTACAGAACCGGGACACATCTGAGGAACTGACTCACGCTCTTGTCACGCTCGGCGGGCGGCCGGGTAGACGGGGGGGAAAGCGCGTGGTGTCTGGGTCAGATTCCGGCCTTTCCCGGGCAGCCGGGCAGCTTTGCTGCTCGGTGGAGCATGATAGCTGGGGTTAGCAGAGTCGTGGTGACAGGGGCCGACTTGGACATGTGGATATACGGAGGTTCTGGAGAGGCGGCGGGATCGTCAGTCAGGGTGAATGTGCGTGCGTTCACGAGTGGGCAGAATCAGATGAATGCATGAGAGGGTGACAGAGACTGTGGAGTCAGTCCATCCTGTGGCACACCTGAGAAAAAACTGTGTGTGTGTGTGTGAAACTTTTTAGTTTGCCAGAGTCTATGTTTAAGTTTATCCTCATTTCGATGTCCCTGTCTGTGTGAGTGTGTGTGTGTCTGTGTGTGGGCCCTAATTACTGCAGTGAACAAGGGTGACAGTTGGGCCCCCAGGGTGCCGCAGGGCATCTCCTGTAGTCGTGGCGACTATATGAGGGTGGCGGTACACGCGCATGCGCTCGCCTTCACTCGCCTACACCGTGGCGCACACACACACACACTCACACACACACACACACACACACGCACCACCGTGCCCATGCACACACATTAACTAGGACATTTCTAGATATGACCTCATTCAGTGGGAGGCAGGAAAGTTAACAGAGGCGGGACAGAAGAAGGGTGAAGAAGAAAGAAAAAGTCAGACAGAGATACACTAACAAGATGCACTTGTTGACATCCTGGTGGGTCCACCTCTGCAAGACATCACACATACACACACACACACACACACAAAGCCCGACAAATAGCTTCAGTTTAGTGGAGGATATTATTTTCCTTCGGTTGGGTTGAAAAAATCATCAACCCTGTGAGACTGAAGTAAGGTTTTTAGGTATTCATTTATGTGCCATTATCTGCGCGGCCTCTCTCTTCTTCTCTTTTCTTTTTCTTTTCAGAGATGGATTAGACTCACATGGAGAAGGCAGATGAAGGGCAGCTATGCCTTAAAAACAGGGCCCGACTTTATGACACAGTTCACTAGTTACACAGCGTTGGACTGCAGCATGCGGCTAACACCAGACTGCAGTCTCTGATTCAAGGGGGTTTTCTATAATTCAGAGAGTCAGAGCAAAAGAACTTCAGAGGTTTCTTTGCAGCCTCCCAAGCGGACGGTTCAAACGCTGCTTGTGCATGCTAACTACAACGTGCACACTCTCATTCAAAAGCGTCCTGGTGTGGTTGTGTGCATTAAAAAACGCGGGCGTACAGGTGAGTTCTCCGCAAATATGTGCACGAACGCTTTCACAAACCAGCACGCAGCGGCTCTGTTCTCTGACGGCTGAGACTCAGTTCGAAGGAGGCAGGCTGTCAAATCGACTTGACCAAGCTTAGGAACTGTCAGAGTGTGTGTTTGTGAACAGCACGAGAGCACGCAAGCCTCTTTGTGTATGCATGCGGTCGCCGGGTTGTGCTCACAGTTACCACGCACCTACAGCAGGATGGTTGAGGGCTGAGTGTTTCATTTACAGACTTAGGATCTCTGCCCTGCCATCCAACAGGCCGCATTTGGTCAATATGTGGGCAAAATCTAGAATACCATTTGAAGAGCAGGAAACACGCTGCAATCCATACGCCTCTGCTCCTAAGCCTCAACCCCAGAAAAGTAAGCGCCTGGAAAAACAGGAAAGGAGGTGAAAGCTAAACCAGATGGCTGGGAGCGGAAGGGAAAAGTGACAGTGAGGGTGAGAAATAGTGGGGGGAGAAGCAATTTGAGGAATGGGGATTGGGGAGAAAAAAAAAGAAGAAGAAGAAGAAAACTGGGAACAGAGTGTCAAAAGAATAGAGGTATCAAGAGAGTGACAGGTAGAAGGATAAGAAATTAACCATGTCGGTGTTTGACGCCTCAAAAAACAAGGAAGGGAGGGGAAAACTGAGGAGTGGAGGGGCGGCAAAAACTCCCCCTTGCTCGTCTTGTTCTTGTCGAAAGCGGTTTCTCTTTGTCTTGCGGGACCGCTTGGAGCGGGATGGGAAAAGACAAGAGAAGAAGAACAACAGAGAGAAGGACCAGAGAGGGAGAAATGAAGGAGGAGGGCAAACAAGGTGACAAGGTGGCGGAGATGTGGCAGGCGAAAGTCTGTATGAAGTCCAGAAGTAATTTTCTAGCACGAGAGCAGAGGCGAGAGGCAACAAAACACAATGTGTTGGCCCGCGTGCACTGTCTACACACCCTCCGGGCCGTCCACACTTTCCGCCTCAAGTATTCATGTGTGTGGGATTAAGAGGGAGATTGAGTGAGAGCGAGAAGAGAGAGAGAGTAAGAGAGAGAGAGTGGGCTGTAAGGTACTTGGTTCATGAGGCACTCAAGTATCAGTGAGGGGCAGGGAGTGCATTGAAAAGCATCTCTGTAGACGCCATAAAGTCATTTAATGTTAATAGATCACTATAACTTGGAGGCATTTCAGCGTTTTTTCGCTGGCAGCACTCTGTCCGCGTAGCAGCAAGCAACTCTGATGCAGCGTCGATCTAACCGCATGCCGCCTGTTACACGAGGAGGGAAGTGCACTTTTACATTTCTAAGCTTGTGTCAGTTATTTCTTCAGCAAAAGCAGAGGAAGCATGTGCAAACACATTAAATGCTCCCTTCGAGAGTCCAATAGAATTTGAGTTTTACATCAGTAATTGTCTTAGAGAAAAAGCTCTTGCTGTACGTGGGAGCCTATCGTTCTACAAAACAAAGTAGAGATGAGTGGAGATTAGTGAAGAACATTCCAGAGGAATGCAAATTGTCCCAGGAGTGGACGCCCCGGGACGTACACCCCAAGGTCAGACCCTGTCCACCCAACCCAACAGTTATATCTCAGGCTGTCTTTTTAAAATCCCAACAAGGGAAATCTAAGTCGGAATCTGATTCTCTTTTAATCTTTTTTTAAAGACCGAGTAGAAGGAATTTTCGACTTTCCATTCATCATTGGACCATAAGTACAGCCCTGCTAACTGCCACTACAAAAGCAAACACTGGTGAAATATTGCACCTAGAGGCAACAGTTCCTAATGTTAGCAGCCACAAAATTAAAGCAAACACGGAGGACTTGAACAACAGGGAAGTCCAGAGTTTATACAGCCAGTATGTGGTGGAGGAATTATGACTTCTTGATGGTTCCGTTCACCACCCAACAAGCAGGACATTCCAGAGTGTGTGTTTTAACAACTTGAGTCAGTACAATACATCACTCGCAACAAGATTTTGCCCAAAAGAGGAAATGGCGGCCCGTCAGTCATCGATGGCCCAAGTTGATTTGACATTTGTCTGAGGAAAAACGTGCGAGTCCATTTTGGTCTGTAGTGCTTGGGTTATTTACTGTATTCACTCTAGTGCATAATAATGCAGGGCTATCAATTCCTAGAGATCTCAAAAGAGACAGACCCTTAGGGGGAGTTGAATGGACGGGGGTCAAGTGGGTTAAATCTTTGTCTTAAAATGATTTGATTGAATAGTAGAATGAAATAATGGTTGTGTCTGTTCATTTTTTATTTTTTCTGGAGACGTTTCAAAAAAGACAATGTATCCTTGTATTTTTTTTCAGTCCATTTTTTTTTCTTACGCAGTTGAGGAGATAAAACATTCAAAAAGACAGCTGAGTGAGCGGCAGGATCCTTAAAGAATTCTTAGCAAATACTCTGAAATTGTGGCACTTAGGCTCAAAAACCTGATAAAATAAAACAAAAAAAGAGTGAGTTAGTGAACTGAGGCCAGTATATCGCCAAAACAGATTAAGCATAACTTTCACGGCCACGGCTTCATTTCCCCTTCAACCCAGTGTATCCCAGTGGGGAGATAATCTGGGAAATGCAGTGGTATCAGGTCCTTTCTAGGTTGCCTGAGAAGCCTTGTGAGACCCTCTTGAGATATGAGGCTTTGATATCAGGACCAATTATGTGGTATGGGCACACACACAAACATACGCACAGACACATGCACGCATTCACAAATGCACATAATCTACACACACACACACACTCCTTGTACTTAGTGTGGGAGAGAGGAAAAACAAAGAAGAGAATGTGATACCAAGGAAACACTGGGCAGGCAGAACATGTTCTGATTTTATCAACCAGTTGAGCTCAGCTTGAAAGCCAGGGACGATACAGACATAGAGGGAATGATAGATTGGAAACCATAAAGGCTGAAACAGACCAAAGAAGGGGGAATGTGTGAGTACTGTGTGAACATAAGCTGAATACACAAAAAGCCCTCTCTTCAGTGCAAAAGCCTTTGCCGCGCACAATCGGCTGAAGAAGAAAACACATGCATTGGGCATGTGGGCATTTCTGTCATCCTGATATATGTGTGAGCACCCCTAAGCTGTGTGCACCGCATACAGGCTGGCCACGCGGCCTCTCTCGACACGCACACAATCTCGCTTAAAAATATATGCGATAAACAGTTGTTTCCGGGAGTCACCTCCATAGAGGATCCCTTAAGATTAAGTCTGGCCTCTGGCTCTGCTAATTGGAGCTTAAAGTCTGGTGGAGCCCCTGGGCAGTGTGTGCTGCGCGCGGAGCGTGCCGTGTGCGCTCGTGTGTGTGCCTGCGTATAAATAATGGATGGGAACGGCTGGAGGAGAGTGGCCACACAAGCTGCAGCAGACAGAGCCTTCAAAGAGACCGAGACGGGGCCAAAGCAACCGCAATCGCAACTCCACCACATGTCAAAGACAGGTGGTTTGATAGAGAAACAGAGGACGGAGCAGAAGATGGAAAGATGACGGCAATATTAAACACAGAAGAAAGATGAGGGAGGAAATAATGGGACAGCAGGAGGAGGCAATCAAAGTCAGAGGAACACATGAGCAGAAAAATCCAGATACTAATGGTGACATGACTGAATTATTCATATGCAGACTTCTAATTTCAGATAGCCTTGCTTTATCACTGCTATCTTTGTACTGTTAATATTTTCCAGTTAGTAGTGACCTATATACCTGCCCTCAAAGTAAGCACTGAGACAGCAGAGTTTTCAAGGAAGTTAACCAAACGTCAAAATAAAAATTTGCGTTGCATACTTAATGCTGCGTCCAGTACACAAACACTAGAAATGTGGACAGTATTTGAGTCTTAAAAATAATATATAAAGAGAAACAGGAAGAGGGCCCCTGTCCGTGCTTGAAAGTAAAAAAATTCAATAGTAGAAAGGACATTCAAAGGTCTGCAATAACTGGTCTTTCTTTTTTTTGTGTATTGTATCTAAAACTTTCCAACATCCTAAGAAAAAGCTCAGTATTTTTCAGCTCATACAGGTCACTGCAAACTCGACTAGATAACATTTTATCTGCATAATCAAACATAACATTTCCCAAAGACGTATTCAACAAAAACCAGCTGCCTCGGTATTCTGTGAAGAAGTTAAACAGGGACAGTTGGTGGTGATTTTATCCTCCCTTTTGTTCTGTGCTTTCAATTGGCATTCAAAAGCAGTTCAGGGAAATAGTTTGAAAACAAAAAAACCTGTAGCGTAGAATGGAGGGGGACAGTTTTAATATCCAGTTTACCTTGGCCAAAAAAATAACCCTTTTCAAGTATTTTACCATTTAATTTACCCTCAAAAAGCAGGGAGATTTAGACATTTTGTTTTTTCTTCACTAACACGCCAGATGGTGTTCTTTGTATGGATCAACTTAGTTTGACTTCATCTTTAATTACAAGAAGCTGAAATTGAAATTTAAGGTTTTAATCCGATCTGTTATTATGTTTTTTTCATTTATCCACTGACATTCATACATGTGAAAAGAACTAATTCTAAAAAACTTGGAAAAAAGTATTTAACATTTCCTGCCGCATCTGTCTTTATGAAATAAAACTTTTCTTGGTGTCAGTGCGGTTTCATAACAAGTGTCTCTGACTTGTGTCCCTGTCATATTTAATTACATTTCATTGTATAAAATGACAGTTGGATAGAAAAACAAAAGGTGGTGTGAATCGCTAGTTCAGTTGAGCTGACAGGAAATAATACTCTGCTCTTTTAAAAATTGCTAACACAATTTCCCAATGCGAAATACCAGCTCACCATCACATATATAATGTACATAAAAAGGTTTACCCTCCATTCTCAACGAATAAGCCAACTCTCCTTACAAACATGGCTTTGGCTCACACCATTGTTGGCTACTAAAACTGACATCTAACACATATATATGGCACCACATGTGTAAAATGGAGGACATATAATGCACATCGTCCCCAGTTGCAAGAGAAATCAAAATCAGAACTGAGCATTTAGCCGTTGACACACTGATAATGAACTGTGAAGCACCCTGTGGCCTTCGGCCATTGTGCTTTCCGACAGCACTGTCTGGAAAGAAGGCAGTCGCACTGGAGAGGCGCGAGGAGGAGGTGTCACCTGACACACTTTATGATACTGTGCATGCACTTCAAGTATGGAGATTAGTTACACCGGAGACCCCATATATCCTATCGCCTTCGTCCTCCACTACTACTAAGTTGGGTTCGGGTGAGGTTGCGTCTGAGCTGCACCTTGCCCGGATCGTTTCTGAAAGTGAGTTAACGTGTTGGTCCTTCAGAGGTTTGACATGTTGCCACCGTGAACTACGAACAAAGTCAACGACACACACAAAAACTGACCTGAGCGACATGATCTTGTACGCGTCTGGCAGGTAGCATCGGGTGTTCTCCATCTGGGCCGGGTCCGAGTCGCAGATCTTGTCATCCGTGCGGCCGTAGTTGGCGCTCTCGATCATGATGACATCTGTGCCCGGGCAGCGCAGTTCGATGGGGTAGGACTCACAGGACAGCTCCCTGCGCACAACTGCCATCGGGATGGGGGCACGGCCATACACTAGGCACACACAAAAACACGCGCACTGTTACAAAACTTGCCACCTGCTCCAGCGGCAACTGTTTGCTCTCGTTAGCGAACCATCAAAAAGCACCCAGACCTAATAAAAGAGCCCGTTTGGATCTCTGGCAGTAGATTGAATTGTACGAGGACAAATTGTGTTTGGCCACGACTCTATTTGTAACCCCTGTCGTAGAGACTCGATTATCCACAATACACAAAAACGACAGCATCGGTGTAGATTTTTCATGAGGGCATGCCCACTGTCGTGAGCGGACCCAATAGGTAATTATTGCTTTGTAATTATCTGTTTTGGATCTCTTTTCAGATGTTGGATAATTGCCTGGGCATTTTAACGGACACTTAGAGCTGTAGCGATTACTCAAAGATGGCAATGCATAATTATTCCCAGAAGTTGGGAGCTTGATGCATGCATCCACATCAGTGAGATAAGAAAACATGTCATTAGCTCCAGTGTCACTGAAGCTACAGGCCTTTTTGGACGTTTTTTGTGTCGGCACAGTCTAACTTGACTTTGGAAGAAAAAAGAAAAAGAAAAAAAAAACAGTTACCGGCAGAAAACGCAGCCATGACACAGAGCTCCTGTAAAAGTGTGATGTCAGTGGCGTGGGGCTGGCTGATCCCAGCTGTTTTGGCTGTTGCGGTGGAGCTTGGATGTTGTTATTCTTTGTTGTTCAGAGCTGCACTCCCTGGGAGGATCAGCCCACATCCCTTGATAGATAGATTATTAGCTGAGGTGTTCATGTGAGTTTTTTTCTTTTTTTCCTTTCTTTTTCCATCACATAAACCCTTCTTTGATATCAAAGTAGACTTGTTTTTTTTACCTCAACAACTACCTCCCCCTGAGTAAACCCATCAGAGTATATTTTCCATATCCTGAGCAATATAAACATGATGAATTCTCACTGCTGAACACAACAAATTAAATCAGGAGAAAACTAATGTTAAGGGCAAAGTCTTTCTACAATTCGCTCCCCTACTTTCAACTTGTCAGAACCTTTCAAATTAGTTCCTGAAAGCACAGTCACATGTGCGCGTGCCAACACTGTCGGGTGTTGAGACACCACATATGAAGCACAATTGTCAGACACAAACCTCCAACATCCCCCGAAAAGCGAGCCGCACTCCCACCTTCTTCGCTCTCCTTGTCGCGGTAACCATGGAAACCCTTTCCTCCCTCCCTCCCTTTGCTCTTTCATTCGTTAGGAGAGCGTCGTGGTGACACATATGCAGCAAAGAATCTGAATGAGCTCAATGACACTCTGCCCGGGCTCAACTTAATACTGCCCTTCACCACAGCTCCCGCACGCACACGGAGGCGCGCGTGCATACAAATGCTCCAAATGATGGAATTTCTGGGAGGTAACACACAGCCGGCATTGGCGATATCTGTGCAGTGTCAGTACCTGAGGGCACAACACTGATAATGGCAGGCCCTAGCTTAGAGATAGGACTGATATATAAGTGACATTTACTCAAAATGTCCTCTTTAATGAACAGACACATGCGCGCACACGTAGGTACATCGCTGCAGGCCATGATTAGGCCTTAAGCACTCAGTCAGACGGAGCCCGTGTCTCCGGAGTGGGTGAAGAAATGAGGGGCATCTTTTGGTTTCTGGAAGTGTGCGCTTTGGTGCTCAGGGCACTGGGCCAATAATGCCTTGACTAAAGTGTTAGTTAGTTTGTTTGGTTTTTTTCGATGGCCGGATCAAAACAGCCTTTTTGAGTGTGAATATATGTCGGGGAAGAAAAGGGTTAAATGAAGCATGCAGGGATGAGTGCAAAGTATTGTGAGGCAGCTGTCTAAACTAGATTCTGATAAGATGTCTTATAGCGCTGCCTTCTGGGGGTCCCGTTATAAAAAGCAGCATTATAACGAGAAAACCCATACAAAAAATGTGCCTACTAAATTTAAAGAAGATTTGATCTGCATCTCAACTTTATTTAAACAGGAAACACAATACTTGGATATAAACCAAATTTGACTAGAGTAGCACAGTTAGCAGATTAAATCACGTGCAAAAAGAAAGATCATCTGGTCCTTACTAGGGTGAACATGAGGTTATTACAACTTGAAATGAATAAAAACACAAGAGTTATTATCTTGTGTTTTGGTAATCAAACTGTAGAAACATTATGTTAAAAACTAAGCGCCCTCCATGATTAAATACCTTGTTTTTTGCAGCAATAAGTGAACTGCGCAATACTTCAACTGAGGTAATAGTTTTCTGTATAATGTTACCGGTCTCATCATTGTGGAGTAATTTTAGCTCACTTTTCTTTACAGTGTCGCTTCAGTTCATTGATGCATTTGCTTTTCCACAGCTCTCTCAAAGACCCGCCACAGCACTCAATCAGGTCAAGCCTTTGGTCTTTGACTGGGACATTCCATTAGCTTGATTCCCTTCTTTTTTTTTCAGCTATTCTATTATGGCCGTTGTGCTTGAGATCATTGTCCTGATGCATTACCTAATTCTAACCAAACTGCAACTGTAAGACATACCGGAAAACATTCAAATCCAGAACACTGTGGTATACAGGGGGAGCTCAATGAATGCAAGGTGTGCAGGCTCTGTTCCTGGCAAACAAGCCCCAATCAGCCTTTGTGCTCATATGATGGTTTTCTCAAAATGTGCATCTGTCCAAAGGACATTGTTCCCCAATTCCGCAAAACCTAACCTGTGCTGTCATGTTCTTTGACAAATGAACGTCTTTTCTGCTGGAACTTTGCCAAACGAGGCATACATTTTCAGTCTTTTAATGGCTGTCCTGTAATGAACTGTAACTAAAGATGCTGACTAAAGCCGGTAGAGTCTGAAATCTAGCTCTAGGCTTGTTAGCCAATATCTCTGACCACTGCTTGACCTGAACGCGGAGAGAATTTGCTGGAATGTCAAATCCTGCAAAGATTGACAACTGTTCTGACCGACTTCAAATAGACTGAGGAGAGGCCCGAGTGGCTGCTATTTCAAACTAGGTGCAACCACCAAAAGGAACTAAAGCCTCTGTGCGTCGGTCACCCACCCAAAGAGTTGGGATTTACGGTTAATAATCGATTTCTATGATTTTTCACACCCTATATGCTGAGCGACACAGGATTTATTCTACTTTTAAGTATAACATTTGCATCATCTAAAAGTTGCTATATTCTTCATTCGACTGTATGTGTTATAAATATTGCATAAAACTGGTGAAGGGCAATTTCAAACTCCTCAGAGCTGAAGAGACAGACTCAGTTAATCCCATCACCCTTTGACTTTTAAGCAGGGATGAGTCAGATTTTGGTTTGTTTGTCAGAGAAAAGCAAAGTCAGACAGGAGGTCATAAAGCAGGCGTGGGTAACTTTAGCTCTCAAGGGCCACAGCCCTGCAGGTTTTAGATGTTTCCGTGGTTCTGCACGCCCGGTTCAAGCCAACATAACATCAGCGGCCTCTTAAAACGCTCTGTTAGCTGAACATCCTCCATGAAAACTCGTGTTGTGTACAATTCCTGCCACTTGAGAATAAATATGTTAAAAGACACTATTGTTTTGAGTTATTCAGTGCTGCTTAATCCATATGAGCATATAAATAATATAAAAACATACTATATAAAAAAGCAAAACCTCACTAACATTATCCTTTTTTTTGTTCATCCCATTGAGATGGATATATATAAAAAAGTTAGTTAGAATGAAGGTGTGCAGGGGTGGGGTGTCATGACATTTTAAGGTCTTCATTATACACCACCAGCGAATACTTTTAAAACCATCAGTCGAAAGTGCATCAAATGAATCATAATATCATCATAACTGGTTGTAAAGTGACAAAGTGAAGTCAGTTAGAAAGCACTCTGCCTCCATAAGAAGAACTAAATGTCAAGACTAGCACGTAATCCGGTCTCATCTGTCACCGTGTGGGTCATTGTCTTCCATCAGCTGCTTCCCCTATAGAAATCTGAAAATTGCCTGAAAACTATTCCCACCCTGCATATTTCACTTGGTTGCAAATAAGAATGTTCAGTTACTCAGCACCTTTGGATGCCAGACACAATATAAATACATACGGTTTGTGCCCATGTTTAGCTCCGCACCTTTGCCCACATCTAATAATGTCGAGCTGTAAGTGCATGTTAATGCATCTGTCATTAGTTGTGTAAGTGGTGACAGAAACCTGGCAGCTGCTCATAGTACAGACAATCGTATTCAGACACTCTCATTGCCTCCGGGGGCTGAAACAAAAGGTTATTGATTTCTACATTTGGGCCAAGAACAAGAGAGTGGCGAAAGAAGTGGATAGATGGAAAGAAGGAGAAAGAAAGGGGGAGATGAGAAAAGAGAGAGATTTAAAAGGTGATATCTCACTTGAACTGCCGAAGCGTTTGGCCCGTGCCGGAGTCTTAAATATGCGCCTTTGAGAATAAGAAATACCTTCGAATATTTTAAGAGCAAAAACATTATTTTAAAGGTAATTCTCCTCTTTTGTGTCAATAAATGCTATGAAAAGAGTTGGGGGGGGGGGGGAAATGAATAGCACGTTACTAACAGAATATTTTTTACTGCATTCTTTAAGCTGCTTGTTGAAATGGAAAATTGTCACTCCATCACTATTACTACTACTTATAACTGTACTGCCACCACCGTGCTTGACTTAGGGCCACTGATAATGACCTTTTGCTCAGTGTCTGGTTCAACCAAAATGTATCAAGACGTCGTTGTGCACTTGTTTATGATCAGAGGAAACTTGAGGACTGCATAGTAAAACGTCCGATAAGGACATAGCTACAGAGCTAATCACACATTGGCATTTTGTTCTCTTTTTGATCAAAGCTCTTCTTTCTCAATAACAGTTTGACCCTAAAACTTAAAACCAGAGATGTGGATCTTTGTATCTAGCAACAAAAACTACCTGGATTATAATTGTTCAGCATGTTTTCAGCGTGCTGTTTAAAGCATGTATAAATCACTGCATTCTACTATTATTACATTATTATACAGCACCAGAGCCTTTTTTGTGTTTTTTTTAGAGGCTGTGGATAATTATGGGAGCATGTGAGCTTTTTCTAACTTTCAATGCCTGAGAATTTTTTCTTGTGTCCTTCTCCGGATTTGTGCCTCTAAATCATTTTCTCCACTCCAGTTTTGTTTTGTTTTAACTTTTACATCCACCACCATCGTAATTACTCTATGATGCCTTAGAAAATAAATAAAGGATGGATTTTGTAATTTGGTATTTTCTACACATTAACTAAACTGCAAAAAAGTAACGATTTAGATTCAGAAAAAGGAAATAACTTCATGTTAAAACGAATATCAAATTTAACAATGTGTGGTATGCGCCGTCCGCAGTAAAACTGTTCATACAGCAAACCCCTTTTTTTACTTCTTTACTCTCAGTTGAAGTCAGTACAAAACTACTCACCCAATGAATGTTTATTGTGCAGACCAAAGCATATTTCTCATAGTCATATTTTACACAGTTTCTAATTAAATCATTCCATCCATATTTTTCTACATATAGCTCAATGCTTTTATGAATCAATCTAACCAATGATCCTTATTTTCTAAATGAACAAGATTAAGTTTTGCTCATTAAATTTGATTGTTATTTGTGTCCTTTCCTGGAACTTTGTAGATGCTCGTTTTCAATTCAATAAAAAACTGTAAAATGATAGGGAAAAAAAGAAAGATGGAAATGTCTTCCAAACTTAAATTAGCGCATTTGTGCCAGCTTTCAAGATGCCAGCATGCTCAGTACCTCCACTCTAGCTAAACTGTTTGTACCCTTAAAGATCAGAGGAAGGAAAACAGCATTATGCAGCAAGTTTCACTTATTTGTTTATTTATTCACCCTGTCTAATTTGTGTTATATCGTCACAGTGCTTTAATATCCAGTAGTACTGACAAGAGTCTGCTTACTGGAGAAAAAGCAGTCTGCTTACTGCTTGTCCTCAAACCTGAAGTGTCTTTGTTTCAGCAAAATCCCTCCAAGTAAAAACACCATGATTTGCATATGTCGACTTATCCTTTAGACATTGATGCAAATGCCTTTGACTGAAATCCATCCCTTGGTGTTCAAGCAAAGCCATCGGTGGCTGCTTGCTTGCGAGCGCTCCCTATGTGTGACTGTTTCTGGCTCTGTGAGGCCACACTATTTTAGCATTTAGAGTATATCGTCTATGTACAAAGCCTGGCAGCAAGCATGTGGACAAGTACAAAGTTGCAAATTGTGATTGACAGCAGCCATTAATAGGATTAAGTCCAAGTGGGCCAGAGCTCCCTCTTGGAGACTTCAGAGCTCGGTCTCACAGGGCAGGAACATATAGGTCACCTACTGGTGCTGCATCTCATCTAAGCATGTGTGGGCAGCGTAAATATGTGCACATTAATAAGAGAAGATACATGTAAATGAACGGATGAGTGAGTGTTTCATTGGAATCGCAGCTGCAGCGTTTCTTATTACATCCTTGGGTGAGTGGGGGTGGACGAGGAGTTAAAGCCGTGCCATGAAATACCAGGCTTCAGCTTGATGTAACGGCTTTACTTGCTCCCCACATAAATAAGCAAAATCAGTGCTTGTTAGAACGACTTAAGTGCCTGACTATTTGTGCAAAGCGACCAAAAGACTTAGAAAGTTACGATAGGAGCAACAGATGTGCACACAGCAGGAATCCATCAATCCAAAAAGGAAATCACATGACACAGTGACCCTGGGTGCGAAATAACAAGACCCCAAAACCAACAAAAACATGTCTGAACACAATTTATCTTCTTGTTTGTGACGCCATGGTTTTGTGTTGTTTGCCCCAAACTTTGGTGTTTTATTAACAGATGTGTTTTCTAAATTTCCTTGTGCTTTCTGTTGATTTTTTCTCATCTTTTGTCTTCCTAAATACTGCAGCTTTTTATTTTCTTCAATTTTGTAATATCTTACACTTCAGAAAACAAAACACTGCAGGTTGCTAAAAAAATAAACTTAATGTCGATTTTCACATTGTCTAAAATCAATTAGCTAAACCTATGAGTAAGAATTTACACATTTAGCCAAATCAAAAAAGGAACTATTTTGCAGTCTTTCAGTCATTTTATTTTTCTTCGGGGAAAGAGAAATAAAGAAGAAGTATTAAATTGCGTGAACTTACCGATGGCGACGGGGGCAAGCAAGGTTGAGATGAGGAGCAGGCATCTGGCCCACATGACGTCCGAGTTTGACCTGGAAGTGTGCAAGGAGGTGCTTCCTGCTGAGCCCAGACAGTCTTGTGGTGAGCTGTTTCTCTCACAGCTCAGTGTTCCTGACACCATTCAGGCCTGTAAAGTGACGCACAAACACACAAGAGTTGCTCACTTGTTCGCCACATTATGACACTTCATGCAGGTCACTGGGTTTACTTGCTGAAGTTCAGGATCCCCTAAAGAATTACCTAACCTTTTTTTTCTTCAACAACAGATCAACCATCTGATTATCCGTGAAAAAAATTACTTGCTGAGACAGAATTATCGGACATTTCGCAATTCAAAGAAGCTGTTGAACTGCATCAAATTACACAGACTTATCAATTGCCACGTATGATCATAAAAGAAAAATAAATTGGCCTTCACTGATTCAAAAGAAATTCAGGAAGCTGTTGCGTAACAGATCCAGTGCAGCTTGAATAACACTGCTATGGTGAAAGCAGCAGAAAAACAACAGTTATTCCATCTGTGCAGATTTTGCAAATACACATCTTACAACACAACAGATCATATGCTGGATAATCAAGGCACGAGAAATCTGTGATGGAAATTTGAGGCTAAATGCTAAAATCTGATGCCTCTAACCGCACACGGACTGACTTCACTCTGTATGCCACACAGCATCAAAGTGTGAAACTTATTGATGTTCCAATCTAATTGTTCATTTCATGGTCCATCAGCGATAAACAATTAATAAGATGATGGTTTCTGAGATTGGGTGCAGCAGTGATGAGGTGGTAAGCCTTGTTCCATGTTCCTTTATTTTTTTACAGAACATATCAAGTGTACTAGTTCAATCACTGGCTCATTCGCCCACTAATTCAGCCAACAAATAACGAAATTACTCTCTACCTGAACCCCTCAAATTTACAGTTTGTATGATAAAAAAGGGGGAAATTGACACATTGCCTCAGTTGAAGTTGTGTGTATATATCATTTTCAAATTTGGAGTCAGAGCAAAACACAGTAATTATATAATCATCCCATTTATTTCTGAAATAAACAGAATATTTCATGGGCATAGTTCATAGGTAACAGAAGCCCAACTTTGTGCCTAAATGTTCCATGTTCTCAGGGGAGGGCAGACTTAGCTCTGAATAAACAGGCACGCCAAGTCTGTGTGTGTGCATTCAAAAGTGTGTGTGTGTGTGTGACTTTGAGAGAGACAGGCAGGAGAAATTTGCAAGAGCCGGGGACAGATGGAGCAAAGCAGACAGCCAGAGCCATGGGAAATAAATCATGTGTAACAGAGACTATTGATCAGTGTGGCCATATCATTTTGGCCCAGCAGAGACTAATACAATAGTGAGCTATCTCCATCAAGCCATGCTGTGAGATGATTTCACTGCCTTTGGTCTCTGCCATAGATATTTTTTATATCAACAGTTACCAATATTTATATTTTCAACCTATTCAAAAAAATAATTTCATGTTTTTGTTTGACATCCATCAAATGTCCAAAATGCATTCTGAAGATTGTAAATGGCGAAAGCCACATACTCACTTAACAGTCAAATATACCTAAAGGCACATTTACAATGAATCTGAATCTCTGACAACAGACAGAAGTACAAAACTAGATACAATCTGTGGAGTCATCCAAAGCTTTAAGATGTTTTTTTAGATTAATTTAAGATTATGATCAGAAATTCAATACAAGCTAAACTTAATTTCAGATGAGCCTGTGCAGAATGGTAAATTCAATTTGCATTCCACCATAAGTTGAAGCATTTTATCAGTTTATTTTGAAAAACTTTTAGCATAATCTTGTAGTTTTGGATTTTAACAAAAATTCCCACCCTTTCTTTGTCCTTTCAAAGTATGCAAAATATAAAATGTTGAGATTCCATTTAGGCTTTTTTGTGTGATATGGAAATTTAGTTTTTCTTTTTTGCTCACAATTCATTTATTTAAAGTATCCAAAAAGGTTGTATTTAATTCAGTATAGCCCATGGGGATGACATGTCGGCTAAAAGGGGGAAATATTGACATCAGATCAAATGTTATTCTCAAGGTTTGCCTTTTATAAATCATAAATCTATCTAACACAGGAAGCAGAGAGATGGATGGGATTGTTATGTGCAGCTCATTCAACCACCTCTCTCTTGGTTTATGAAAAAAAGAGAAGTCGAATACATTTGTGCCAAGCCATTTGGTTACACTTACCTAGGGTTACAAACTAAAACTGAAATGTGTACAAATACATTCTTTTTACAATGATGTTGATGGTTAAACTATTCTTTTAGGGTTTACTAATAGGCAATTTTCAATCATACCAACCTATCCATTGGCAAGTGACTGCTCTTTCAACTGGTCTTTTCCTTTAGCTACAGTCTCCAATGAAATGTTGTCTGAAGGAACAAAAGGAATGTCATTTTTTTTTATATATTAAACTCTTTCTTATAAAAATGTTAGGCAAAATAATTAAAAAAACCTGGTTTTCTTTCTTTTCTTTTTTTTACCAATAGAAAAACAGAACCGGTAGAGGAGAGGAAAACAACTTCAAATCCCATGATTTAGAGGTGTCCTTGCAAGGCTTTCTGTTGAAAATAACCTTGAATGCCGCATATCCAAATACATTCAGCTGCCTAAATAAAAAGCTTTTCCACCTGATTCCATGGAAGTGAGACTTCATATAAGCTAACAGTTCCTGACAAATCCCTAATGGCTCTGAAATGATAGACTCACAACACACTCCCGTGCATTATTCCTGCCGCCGCTTAAACAACTGAGCAAACTGCCCCATTTTGATTGATTGGACCCTAACTCGGTCGAACATGAGCAATTTGACCAGCTGTCCCCAGCTAGACGGAGAAGGCACACGGCAACATATGGCCGGACGCCACCAGTCACAGCATTCCTCTGTTTCATAATTCAAAAGCTATTCCATCAGCCCGTATGCTCCAGAGCCACCTCACCAATTGCTTAATTAACCCTTTCATTTCCTTTGTGCTTCACTGTAGTTGCGCGATAGCCCATAGCAGTTCGGGACTAATCCAAAGTCAAATCACTCTAGTTAGGGTTATAATTCACTGGGGCTGCATTCTCCCATATGCTCACATAATGACATCAAAACATGTTCCATCCCATCCTCCATCCATAATGAAGAGACGATGACAACTGCCTCAAGCCATGACTTGTTTTTGTAACCCGCTTCCTTTCATAATCTTAATCTGTTGATTGGATGAAATATTATGAATAAGTGACCACCAATTATGCAAATTAGCAGGACATATGTGGATTGTTTACACTCCATATCTATGGGACGGCTGCGTGCTGAAGGTCAGGCGGACATCGTGTGAACTTATTCGCGGTTTTGAAAAACGAAATAAACCGAGGCACGTCTTCAAAGAATGAGCTCAACATTTTTTCTTTCTGGAGCCACACCCAAGCAGATAGCAGCTGGCTGGGGAATGAGCAGAACCAGACTGAAACAGATATCTGTCACTAGATTTATGCCCTTACTTGTGACTGCCACTTCCATCGATCTCTACTTCAGCCATATCGTCTTTGTAGATGACGCTCCAAATATGACAATAATTTACCCCTTTTTTTTTGCTTTGACAATTTTGCCAACTGTAAAAAAGGCTGTCAATCTTGGACGAAAGACAAAACACTTGTGATTTCTTTTTCTGTGAGTCAAGTTATAACAATTAACAATCTGTGTAACATTTTGCACTCCAGAGAATAAAGAAGGCAGAACACTCCCTGAAAGGAATGCATGTGCAAGTGACGTGATCTCTTTGTCCTATATTTTTCTGCCCTGGATCTTCATTTCCTACAGGGTCGGCATTAACAACGCTGTCGCCAAGGTTGCACCACTCACACACCATATTGCATGCCTCCGTGAACTACTTGCTGTCTGGCTCATTTCGGGTGCACTAAGGCCGCCCGAGCCCTGTGTGTGTGTGTGTGTGTGTGTGTGTGTGTGTGTGTGTGTGTGTGT